GGGTTTATCCGGATTGGGTTAAAGGCTTATAGGGTGTTTAAAGTTTATAGGGCTTGCATGGCTTGTTGGGTTGATAGATCGTTTAGGTCTGCAGGGTCATTATACAGGGGCTTCAATGAGTGGAAAAGGGCTGGGGTTTATCATAGTACGCCCACAATTAGTTTGTTGTGCTTAGGGATTGGCGTACCCTCAGCCTCGCAACCCCGTAGATTGACATCCTTCTTCCCGTGAGAGCTTGAAGGCTTCAGGCGTTATGTATCCCCCGAGACTTGTAGCAAAATCACGTTCCGCAGAAGACTGGTAGAAGTAATTCGAAATCCGAGGATCAGGATGATGCCTGAGAGCTATCAATCCTCAGTCCGATGAAGTGGGTTCCTCCTTATAGTCATGCTACAATATGCCCCACATGATAAATCCCTCAGATGGGTATCTTAGTGTTCTCAGTTGAGCGCCTTAAGGGATTTCAGGGTTAGTTTCTTGGCGCAGAATTCCTGTCATTTGGGGCTTTAGGTGTCTGGTTGTTCGAGGGTGGAACGGAAAGCAACAAACGACCTGCGAACCCAACATGCACGGAAACCCTAAATCGTTAAGGGAATAAAAGCCTTGAGCCACAAGCCCCTGAACCCAACCCCCCAAGCCGACACTCGTAAACCCTACACCTCAACACGGAAAAGACAAGAACACAATAGTTTCCTTGTGTTTCTCTTTCTATGTATATATATATACACATATACACACACACACAATTACACAATCACCAAAGCACCTAAAACTTTAACACCAGCCTTAACCCCCCACCCCCCCGCACCGTTCCCCGACGTCCACCACAAAAGCGGAGGTAATGCCCTAAAAGGCCCTAAACCCTAAACGCAAAACCCAAACCATAAACCCTAAACACCAAACAGCGGCGTAAACACAACTGTGTCTCAGGGCAGGAAAGAGTTGGCATTGGCTTCCGACGACTCCTTGACGAGATGTGTAGCCTTGGAAAGGTTTCGACTAAAAGGGACTCCTAACAAAGGGGCTTAGGATTAGACGCTGAAATGGGACCTTTGGTCATGAGCGCCACCCCCTAGTTGCTGAAACCCTCAGCAATCCTGCCGCTCGGAACCTCCACCCATGCTTCTAAGGCTAGCGAGGCTTTTCTATGTCGTAATTGTGTTGTTTATATATACACACACATAACAGACACATGCACTAATGTGAATATATATATATATATATATATATATATATATATAAGTATACACACATACATGACATACATAATAACACACATACACACCGAGAAACATGCAGCAGGGTAGAGCATCCCCCAGACACATCTTGCCAGAATGGTTGATAACCATACATTGCAAAACGCATTCCGCGCCTTTACGAGGTTCACCAGGCGACCGAAGCAACTTATGGAGACAGTGAAGCTTGGCGGTTTTGGGATTTACAGTTTAGGGCTCATGATTCCTCACATCTTGTTTCTGTCGTCGCAGCAGGCAAGATTGTGACGACGACGACGAGCTGTGACGACGATGACAAGCTGATGGTGACGATGATGAGGATGACGATTAGGAGGATACTGGGAATGATGGGGTGATGAGTATGAAAAGGTAAAGGTGGTGAGGCATACGATAACTATGACAATGATGGCGGCGATGATGTCGACGACGATGCTGGTCGTGATGACCAAAATGACGCCGATAATGACGGTGATGGTGCTGATGGCGACGTGATGACCATGATGATGGCGATGACAGTGAGATGATTAAGTTGGTGGTGAGCATGCTCATAATGACGACGATGGTGACGGTGATGATGACAATGATGAAGGGGCCTGCGTTGACATTGACGATGGCGATGGCGGTGGCGGCGGCGTGACAATGACGGCAACTCGACGACGACAGCGATGTTGTTGACCATGACGATGAGTTTGAGGCTGAATATGAAGGGACTATGAGTATGCCTATGCATAGGCCCATTCGTGACGAGGAAGATGATGAGGGTGGGGTGACGGATGTTCGTGGTGAACAACAAACCAGTTGCTGGTGGTGAGGGGTCTTACGATCACCGCCGTGATCATCATACCTGGGATGCTTGTGATGATTTCGACGCTGATTTTGGGTGACTGTGAAGGCAGCATGCTGTGAAAGTCGCTGAAGAAGATGGACAACCTTTCGTTTAGTATTACCCAGAACCCCGCTGGACCCTACGCCTGACACCAGCACACATAAAGAACGACAACAAAACGCATAGGAGCCCGAGTGCCTCGTTTAACCTGCAAAAACACAGTTCCGTGAAACCTGCAAAACTATAGGGCTCAGAGTCCAGGTGTCCCTATTGTAGCCATGGTACCTTCAATCGTCGTTTCTGTTTGGATGCTGTTGCTCTGGTTGGCCTGAAAGTCTAGACCCGAAGCTTTAAATCCAAAAAATACCGTGATTTTGACAGCGCTGCAAGCCCTTGCCCCCGTCCGAACCCTATACAAACCCCTTGTCAAGCGCCAAGACCCCGAACGAAGGAAAGCCAAGTACTTGAAAAAAGTCAGTCGAATCGTGGCCTACACTGGACCTGTTGCGGTTCCCTTCGCGAGTTTGTTCGTTTTAGGGTTCCGTTTTAGGTTTCTGTGAGGGTTCTGGGCTACACTGGGAGTTTGAGGGCGCTCTAGGTGTTCTACACGTTCTTTGGTGGTTTTGGGCTTGGGTTTCAGGGTTTAGGGTTGGGCTTTCTTCAGGGTTCAGTGCTCATCAACACAGGCCCCTACTAGTTAGGATGGGAATTAGGGGTGCGTTATTCTGTAGTATACTTGTTTGTGGACTAATTAAGGGTGTGGCTCGACCTTCGGCTCGCTTCAACATGCTTCAACCATACTGAATCAAGACCTGCCAATGCCTTTGCAGGTGTAAATCCTTAGCTTCAGGACGTAGCTTCAAATGCCACTCGAATAATGTCGCCGTTCCATCAAACCTGAACTACGAGCCCCAAACCCAGCAACCCTCCAGCTGAAAGCCAAGCAACCCTTACTGTGAACCTTCACCAGCAAACTTCAATCCAAAATGCCTTGCACTGGCCCCACAATCCCAGTGCTCGATCATTGTAAGAAGGGCTGCTGGGAACATTGGCCAGGGCTTACATCGGTTTCTTTGCAGGGCTCACAACGGGAACCTCGAGTCTCGAGTGTTGCAACCTTATTCGCTAAACTCCAGCCCTCAGGCCCGTAAACCCGTAAACCTTCTAAACCCGCAAACCCCGAAGCGCCACACGGCCCCTGAATGTCGAGGTCTGCCTGATTAGTAAAGGAAACCCCAAGCCTCCGTTCCCCCTGTTTTTGGCTCTAAAACCCTGAGTCCCAAACCCTAATCCTAACGCCTTCAACCCATCTAAACCAAAATCCCGAAACCTGATCAAACCGATCCGTTGCCCTAATCCCATTTAGAACGTAATCCTTAAGCCCAAGCCCTCAACCCATCCAAACCCTGAGCCATAAACTGGATTCTAGAAAGGAGTGAATAAGTAATTAAGCCCAAGCCTTCAACCTATCCGACAGGAGTGAATAAGTAATACCATTAGCTCAGCTTCCTCGAGTATAGTATATATATATATATAACCCACAACCTTGCTTCAAAATTGTTCAAGCCTCTGTCTACTCGTATTACGTTTCTTGCCGAGGATCGCTCGGTTCACTAGGTTTCAAGCCTTCTTCACGCAGCAATTGGTTTTCCGCAAGCACCTGGGCCTGTAGATTCAAGGGTTTGCTGAAGGCACGAGTGTCCCTTTGTAACTCTGCGCCGAAGCTTAACAACCAAATATAGTACCCGTAAAGGGAACCTAAACCCCCCAGGTGCGGAGACCGCCACGTTGGAGCGATGTGCCTTGGAGCGCGATGCTTAGCAGTCCGAGCAGAAAGTTCGTGGTGCCCTTAGTATTAGAGGCTTCTGATATCCACGGGATTCGAAGCACCTACATGGTGTAAGCAAATCAAAGTTCGATAATTATTGGGAGTTCCAATATATGGATCGTGCAAGTAGTTGTGCTCTTCATGGGGACTTTTGCCCCTTCGGCATATCATCGTAGCTTAAGGCTCAGAGAGCGCACTAAACAGGACATGTTGCGAGCTACGTTTGTGCGTCTGTATTATCTTCGAAATGAAACTTTGTGTCTAAGTGGCCCTTGGGAATCTTCGGAGTTCTCCGATACCCAACCGTGTCGGGCTGTTATCGTTGCAGTATAGTATTGTCTGAAAGCCTAGCCTTTTGTCTACTTGGGTACCGGAAGGATTACGGGTTTGGCCGCAGGCTTTATTTGGGGTTGTCGGGTTGTGGGCATTTGGGTTTGGGGGGCTTTGGAATTTTGGGCTTTGAGGTATTGATTGAGGTTGCAAGATTTCCTTAGGGCCCAAGGCTTCTCGAAGCTTTGGGTTTAAAGGCTGTCGAGTTGTGAACTGGTGATGGTAGTTTGTCTGGGGTTCAGCTTGGCTTGATGGTGTTGGGGCTCACGTAGACCCCTGACTAACAAACCGTCTTCCCCTAACATAAACAGGGGTCCACTTTCGTTTGGGTTTTGTTGTTTTTCTCAGGGGCTTGAGGGAATGTTGGGCACCACTAACGTGAAAGGGCTTTCGAAGTCTTTTATAGTATGGCCATATACAGGCTATCAGGTCTAGGGTTTAGGCAGAAGGGTTAAGGGTTCGGGGCTTGGGGATAAGGGTTTACGGTTTGGGTTTGAAGTTTGGGGATAAGGCTTTTGGGTTCAGGTTAGGGTTCAGGGATAAAGTTTCTGGGTGGGGCCTAAGTGTTTGCATGAAAGTAAGTATATGGGGTTCTTGGAAACGGTTCTTCAACCCGGTTTTGCAAATGGCCCCTACATTCCCTTAGGGGTCCGGGTATCTCCTTAGGAAGGTCCGGAATCTCCCAGCGATAGCCCCTGGGTCTCGTTGGGCGTCAGGAATCCTACATTTTGAGGTTCGCCAAAGTGTTGGGACCCGTACGGTTATCACTAAAGCTCATCAGGCACAGCGTGGAGGGGATGACGTACGATCCCCGCTTGGTGCTCTTCGAGTTCGTCGCCGGGCTGGTCCTGCGCAAGAAGCAGGCACGACGTTTAGGGTTTGCGGTTTCGGGTTTAGGGTTTAGGGCCAAATTTCCTGGATTTTGGGGTTGGAATTCAAGAGGTTTACGGTTTCGGCATCATGATTTAATTTAGGGTTTACTTGTTTTGGGTTGTCCGGATAAAGGGAGTTTGATTACGGGTTTTGGGTCGTCTGAACACACCTGTGTGTGTTGGTATGTAACTTGGGCAGCCGCAGACTGAATGCTTATGCTAACGGTCGGATTTTAGGAACCGGCTTGTATTCGCCTGGGAAAAGTAGATGCTCCTGAATACTCGATCCCTAGTACCCTGAAACCATGAAGCACAACAGTATACAGCTCAACAACTTATTTGGGGGATCAAGGATTTTCTGAGTAGGAGTAGGTTCTACTAAGTGGCTGTATGAAAACCCTGGAGTCAACAGCCGCACAAGCCGAACCCCAGAACTTGAAATCCCCGACAGTAGACCTTAACCTTACGGACCCAAAAAGGACATCACCATAAGCATTTTATAGGGATATCCCGACCTTATTGGGCTTCACTATAAGGGGGTTTATATGGGAATATCACTATCATTGTTTTTGCTTATGTGCTTTTTTGGGGCCCTATAGCCAACCCTGAACCCCTAACCCTGAAACTCTGAAAAGTCTGGCGAAACCTTAAATGGGCTCCGCAGGTGGAGCTCGTGAGGGCGATGCAGGCGGCTGTTGAGGACCGGCCACGTCAAGAGGAGGGATTGAGGGCTTAGGGTGTTGGGTTTGATTGGTTGTTCTTCTTAGACTTTTCTGGGAGTCGGCTAGGAATGGCTAGGAAACATCAATTCTGCGTCCCAGGGGCGTATTACTTTCAGGTTTCCCGGGTTGTCGGTTAAGGGTCCAGGGCTAGGAGGTGCGTTGATTGTTGTTTTGCCTTGCTTAGGTCAGACCGCACCTTGCATGACTGAATGAAACCTTAGGTCAGGACCCTCGTTTGAAGAAGGTTAGTGCCATTTATCCACCCAAGGTATCCATATTTTCCAGCTTGCCAGCCTACTTAGCCCTCGGCCCCAAAGCTGAGAAGCCCTAAAGCCGCAACTCTGTAAACACCAAGCCCTGACACCTTTCAGATTTCAGTGATAATAAGATGGCCTCCCGAGCATCATGCAGCCTCAGGAGTAGCACACTCCTGAACGAAAGCCCCAGGGATTGCCTCAATCCTGAGCAAAACCTACGCTTCTAGGGCTCCTTAGTTTGACTCCCTTTGGGCGCACTTCCTCCAACGGTAGGGTGGCTCGGCCCGAGTATCTAAAAGCCGTAAAAAGCTTCAAATCCCAAACCCGAGAGCTTAAACTCTAGAAAATGCTAAACATGATCCCCAACCTCTGAACGCTGTAGTGGGGACCATGCCAGGGAAAGACAACCGTCGTATCGCCACTGACCATCCTGGTTCATGGCACTTCGACAAGGAGCTTAGGGAATTCGCGGAGCTTCCAAAATCAGTTGCTTGAGATCTCAGCGTTCTGGGGCAAGTCTTCTGGGTTTGGGGGATTGGGGTTTGGTTTTTGAGTTTGGAGTGTAGTGTTCTCGAATCGCTGGATTGCGAAGATCGAAGGGGTGGCAATAGCAGGAGTAGCAGCCACAGGTCCAAAACAAACTTGAATCCAACACTTCAACCCCCAGGCTACAGAAGTCACCTGCGTCGTTTCAGCCAATTCCCTGAACCCCAAACCTCAAACCCTAAGCCCTTAAACCCTAAATAAACCCTTAAACCCTAAACCCCGAAACCCTAAGCCCCCAACCCTAAACCCTCACAGGGCCTGTGTCGTTTGCTGCCCGTCGGCCCTCCTGGAGTTCACCTGCAAAGTGCTGCGGGCGCCTTCGGCAGAGAAGAAGTAGGGCTGCGTTATAGGCTTTAGGTTTCAAGATTTTGGGATTCAATCTGCAGGTCCTGGGTACCTTTAAGTTGCAATGTCTCGGTGTCCTTTTCTCAGTTTCTGTGTGGCGCTCGAGGGCGCGCACCATCCTCATCTAAGTCCAAAGGAGCTAGCGGGCCAGGGGCTATGTCTTGTCGGACATCCCAGCTTTAAGTGTATAGAGATACCCTACACCGCAAATCATGAACCATAAGCCCTAAGTCAACACCTGAAGACAAACTGGCTAAGGCATCTATTGGCGAAGTCCACCCGAACCCTAAAGTCTTCCCAGTCGTGTTAGCCTCTTTGCGGTACGAAAAGCCAAAGGTTAATCTTTTATGTATTTCCGTGGAATACTGGACGAGTAAGCCTGAGCAAGCATCATACAGCGAGCCTGAAGCCCCAACCCGACAAGCTGAGCTTGTTTGGACTTGAAAAAGGTTCAGGTGCTCAGCTGAGCCTGCTTAGTGTTTAGGATTTCGGTGCAGGAAGGTAACTTGCCGTAGCGATACAAGAGCGGAGTTAAAGCGCACTCAAGCAATATTGAAGCTTGAATAATTACTAACGCCATTCCCCAACTCTCCTCTTGAAAACTATAATATAAGATGCCCACACATTCACAAAGCAACCGTAAGGTCCGCGTTCTAGAGCCTTGGGGGTTTAGTAGTCTTGCGGTTTAGTTGGATTCCTTAAACCTTAAATCCTAAATCCTTAACCTCTAAACCGGAAACCCCCAAACCGTAAACCCTGAAACCGTTTACAGGTGCTCAGAACCCTGAACCCACGAGGAGCGCCTATGTGGCGTGCTGTTTCGCCCGGTGGTGGAGTTCCACTTCACCCGCTCCACACCAGCGACCTGGAAGCACTGGGTTTTAAGGTGACTTAAGGGTTTATAGGGTTTGAGGCTTAAGGGTTTAGGGTTTAAAGGTTAAGGCTTAATGGTTTAAGAATTTAAGTGCTTAGGCACTTAAGGGTTCTGGGTTTAGAGGCCAAGATGCAGACGTTATGTTGTTAGATGTGTTGCAGTCAGGGTTTTGGGGGGCTATCGTTTGGAGTTTATAAGGGTTTAGGATCGTTTAAGGATTTTAGGGCCTAAAGTTTCGGGAGGGTTTAGGGGTTGATGACTTGGGGTTTAGGGTTTAGCGGCAACAGGGCGCAGCTTTGCAGGGCTTTAGTTTCGTTTTGGGCTCAGGGCCTCATATACTTGGGATTTAGAGCCAAGGGTGTAATTAGGGCATATGGAGGCTCCTTCACCCTTTAGGATTCGGTTCGGGGCTTAGTGTTCAGGGCTTTCCTTTTGGGTGTGCGGTTCGGGTTTGGGGATACCCGCATTGTAATTGCTGTGTTTGTGGAGGGAAAGAAAAAGCGAATGTTTCATGCCACTTACGGTGCGCGAGTTTAAGCACATACAGTACACGCAGCAGTTTTTGGGGTAGTAATGTGTTGCTGTCAAGTTGCGGGAATCGGCTCCATAGATTTCGGGGCCTCAGTGCAGGGGAGACTGACGTATGACGTCTGCGAGCTCAACCCCTAAAGCGTCAATCTACCCCAGGAGAGATCCTGGAATTGGGGTGTCACGGAGTCTTCACGCAACTTCCGCAATTCTCAACCTTCTATCCCCAGCCATATAATCTACGGTTAAGCCATAAGCCCTATGTCCCAACAAGAACTGTCAACGACAACTTAAAGGCTCAAAGCCTCACATAGTATGTGCTTTGGGGCCAGTAGCCATATAATAGGAGTCCTTAGAAGCCGTAGAGCCTTAGGACAAGCCATATCGTAGTTCGGCAGCAAGGCCTTCCGAGCGGATGCGTACACAAACCCATCACAAACCTGGGTTTGGGGTTTAGGTTTAGGGTAGGGTTTAGGGTGATGAAGCCCTACAGAAACCCTGTAGAAGACATTCTGTGACACCCCGGAAGAAAGCATATAGAGCCCTGAAAACATCCTTTCGTAATTTGGGGCTACAGCCGACGTCTTTGTGGCCCAGACGCGAGGGAGACCAACAACACAATTTGGAGTTTAGGGTTCAGGACTTTTCCCAGGATTTGGCTTTTATTGGGATATCAGTACTATTCAGTCCGACTCTTTGTTAGAAGCCTCGTAATCATTCTTTTTTCCCCGACATTGAATGCTGGCCTTGATGCGTTTTTCACAAGCCCCAGCAGCGGTGCTTACCGTAGGAATAATGCACGCTTCTGCCTATGGGGGGCCCATAGGGAAAGCGACATGGGGATGCTTCACACAACACAGGCATGCGCAGGCATCGCGTGCAGCTTCCCAGCCGCAAGAAAGCTGGAAATCCCTAAACCCTAGAAACCCTGAACCCTGTAAGCCTTAAACCGCAAACCCTATGTATGCCCGAAGCCCTCTAATTATGAGCCCCAAAGTCCCCTATAGACCCTAAACCCTGAAACTTGAACTCTGAGCCCTTATTACTAATTCTTACGATAAATACCCGACCCTCAAAATCCCTAAACCCGAAGCCCGAGACTCGGAGCCGCAGAACATTGCGTTTTAGCCATGTGCAGGCTTTGGGAGTCAGGCCTTTTCATTGTGCCTTCCGTTTTGTTTTTGAGTTTTGTAGGTGTTGTAGTTGCAGCAGGTTTCGGTGTTAAGGATAAGGTTTAGGCTCAAGATGTTTAAGGTGTTCGTGATGGAAAACTGTGCTTCGGGGGATCTCAGTGTGAGCGGATGTAGCTTTTCGCCAAGGGTACATGTACCCAAATAGTATATACTGTGGCCCCAAAGTACCTATAGAGGGACTACTTTCAAGGCCAATGCATTTACTATTTAGGTACATGGACCCTTAGGGTTTCGTGCAGTGATGTAGAAGTAATAAGTGCTTAGACCCCAAACCCTAAACCTTAAACCCAATTCGTATCTTCCTATCATGCTGCGGGTACTCGGAACTCTTGTTAGGGACTCTGCACTTGTTGGTTCCTGGCGGGAAGGCGAAGCCCAAGACCGTGAATCCCTCCTTCGGTTTAGTGTTAGGCTTTAATGCTTCATGTATCTACTACCAGCATGGGTTTCCGCCCAAAGGTCCTCCTTGATGTGGTTTTTGGGAAGTTTCTTGGTTCCCACAACAAGACGGAACCAGAAACCTGCACCTTCAAGGTCCTCAAACCCTAAGCCCAGAACCCTGAATCATAAGAAGCCTCCAAGGTCCTTTGTTCCGGACCGCTCACACTGCACGCCATCGATGTTGCTCAAAGCAAGGCCTGTCCGAGGATTCTGGGTCTGGGTGGGCGCAGGGGGGGGGGGTAAACCCTAAACCCTAAAAGGGGGGGGGGAGGATACGACGCATGTTACAAATAGGGCTTGGGGCCCTTAGTTAATTACTATGGCCCTCACATGCATCAGCATGCGCTGAATGTTGCAGAAAATGCGGCGTTGTAGACTGGAAACATAAGGTGTCGAACTCAAAGAGTTCTGATATGAAAGCAGGAGGATTTATGCCGGTGTCCGCTTTTGCAGCTCTAGGTTCGTACGATGGTTTGTTGGTCAGGGTTCAGGGTTTAGGCTTTGTGGGCGGTCAGGGTTAAACATTACTGTATTGGGTTTACGAGGTTTGTGTTCGGCAGCCTCGGTCCTGCATGCTTCTCATAATTGTAGACACTATCTGGCATACCACCAGCTTTAGGCTGGCCACTGTTATGTTCTGTCCAGGGCGCCGCAGCAATATTGTCAGTTGGAGGCTTCGGGAAAACCTATCAGAGTGTACTTCGCCTGTGCCTTAAACCCTACGCCCCAGACCCTAAAACTTCTAAACCTGTGTATTAAAGGAAACTGGCCCGAGCTTGAAACTGGCGGAGTTCGCGAGCACCCTCAAGACGCGGGTTTAGGCAACAGAACTTAGGCTAGGCCAGGGTTTGGGACTTACGGTTCAAGCAAGGTTTAGGACTTAGGGGTTAGGGTTTAGGGGTTTAGGGTACAGGGGGGCTTAGGGTTCTGACTCAGGGTGTAGGATTTTGGGGAAAGTCTTCAATTGAGGTGTCACTCCCAGGGCATACGAGGCAATCCTGTGAATATCGTGCGTTACAGGCTGTCGTGAAGTAAATGCCCAAAACACAACCCTCCCCCGATTTGGATAGCAAAGAGTTCGACAAGCACCACAGTGCAGAGCTCATCGAGTTTGTCTACAAAGAAATCGGCCGCATCAATGCCGCCAAGATGGCCGAAAGTGAAGCGAGAGATGCCTACCTCATGAGGGTGGAGTGGGCTGCATAGTCGGTGAAGAACTCGTTGAAGACTGACGGGCCGCGAAGGGTGCATCAACGGATGTTGAATTATATGTTCAACGTGATCTATGGCACGATGGCCCTGGAGTGCTCTGAGTTCCTCCTGAAAAGAAGGGAGCTGACGCTGGCCGCCCGCCAGGGGGACGACCTTTGGCGCAAGGCAATGGGCGTTTATTCGGCCATTAGTACGTGTGTCAGTTTCACGGCACTAGGCATAGAGGCGCAGTCTGCGGCACCCTCATAAACCTGTAACAAGACCCTTATCTTGGAGCTCCAAAAAGCCCAGAGTAGGTGGTATTATAGACTTTATTTAGACCCCAAAGTAGGTACTATTTGTCTACTTGGAGCCTTAGGGTTATCAAAGAGCTCAAGACCCCTAATAAGACCTTTAGCAGAGAGCCCTTGCAAACCACCCCAATAAGGCCCGTACTAGAGAGCCCTAATAAACCCCTACATAAGATCTTTGCAAAGACCCCGGTCCCATGCCGGGCCTGCAGGAAGTGGAGAGGACCGAGGTGAATCGCAGCTAGCGGGTGATTTCTAAATAATTGCCAATATTTTTTGGGGTTTCCTTATTATACTTATAGTAGAATGGACCCCAAAACCCTATTCTACTTATTGAGGCCCCTGTTTTGAGGCACAACAGATGGTTTAGAGACTCCAGGGGCCTTGGGATGATGTATGTGAGGATTCAGACTTTTGTGTTTATGGTACGGGAAGAGGCTCACCGCGACGATGTGCCACTGGGCAAGGATCCTCGGCGGGTTGTCATGAAAGCCCACGCTGCACGTGCTGTAGATGCAATGCATACTGACCTTCACATGTTCACGTGTTCTCGGAAGACGGTGGATACAGCTTGTAAGTTGGATACTGCTTGTGCCGCAGCCGCCGCGAACAGACACCCATGTCAGAACTGCGAAAACGAGGCCACTAACAGTATAATTGCGTAGAACTGAGCCTTAGACCCAAGCACTAAACCCCAAACCCCAAGTCCCAAAGAACCGATAAAAGACACCCAAAGAATTTCTTACCTTAAACAAAAAGGCCGAATGAGCTTCAAAAATAAGGGCCGTATACCTTGCTATGAGTCCCAATATGGCATTATGGTGGTTGCCGAAAATAGGGGGCCCTCCTCTAGTACCCTATAAAAGGATCCGTATTATAAGGATGCTAAAATAGAGTCCCCCCCGATTTTCGGAAACTTTCAAACCCTACAACCCTTGATAGATCCCTTTACGGAACCCTTATGGATCCCTTAAACCGACTCAGGGCTTCCTCGGCTTCTCCATGAAGTCGCTCCTCTCCTGGCCAAGCTTCTCTGGCAGGTCGGCCGGGGAGTTGGCTTTGTAGTTTAGAGTTGTAGGGTTTTGGGGTTGTAGGGTTTATAGGGTTGTGGGGTTTGGGGTTAGGGTCTAGGGATTATGGTTCAGGGGTAAGTTGCGCTTGACGGGAGTCGGTAGGCATTCTTTGTGTTGGGTGGGTCGGGGGTGGGGGGCGGACCGGGGTGTTGGGGTCTTTAGGGTTCAGGGTTGAGGTTTCTTGTTTCACATCTTCTTAGTGTTTGAGGCTTAATGGGTTTCTCATTGCTGTAGGGGCTTGTTTTGGGAGGGCTGTAAGGAGCGTTTCACAGAGCGTTCACGGGGGTTTTGGAATGGGGGTCATTCGGTTTTGGATTCCCAAAGCAGCGTGGCACAGACTATGGAGTTCTGGCGCCGGAGTAACAAGGAGACTTGGTTGGCTTGTACGCACAGCGCTCGTGTACAACTGTTTGCCGACGTACAGCTCTCGATGTCTCCCAGTGCATACTTGCACATCATCTTATTTGCAGAGAATGCGCTAGAAACAGTGACCCGGAGCACCAGACTTACTGCAAATACCAGTTCATGGGCTGTGCCTACGGCTCCGGGTTTAGGGCTGAGGACAGGCATAGTGTGTCTGAACCTCCACTGGCTTGAAGAACGTTGAACCCCTAAACCCTGAAGCCTCAAACCCCAAATCAAGCACAGTTACAAGCCCCAAGCCCTAGGAATGCCGCCGCGGAGCGATTGAAGCCTTGCGATTCGAAGGTTGGGACCCCAGATGCACCCTGGGTGTAGGGAATACGGTACAGTTTTGGGGTTTACAGTCCCTGCAACTCCATGTACCTTTCACATAGTACGTACTTGGGCCTTAGCTTGAAAGTACTGATACAAGGGCTGGGCTGCCTTAAGGGCTTAAGTTTTTTACTAGATAGGTGGATGGAGCCTTCGGGTGCACGAATTTCCGGGTTCAGATTCGGGTGTAGGGATGCTTGTACTAGCTAATCACATGATTGTTCTAACTGTAAAGAGCTTGTTGTAGGGCTTGGCAGTTAATGTCATGCAAGTATACATTTTGTATTCAATGCATGGGGCACGCAGACAAAAAAGGACGCTAGCATAGACCTGAAGTAGTCGTGCAGATTAGGAGGCTCTGTGTGCAGATGTTTGCCAAGTAACTTTTTACATTACAGGGGATTGTCATAGAGATGCCATGTTCAACAAAGGTTTGGGTTTAGTTGGGGGTGCTTTCAGGGTTTTGGGATTAGTTTGGTCAGGGTTCAGGCTTTCGAAAAATCTGCAGCTCGGGGACACGGGAGGAGAGTGAAGGAATTTTGGGTTGCGTTCGGGGGCGAGGTTTAAGTAAATGAAACACACGAGGCCGGGCAGGGATTCCCCACATCCTCAACCTTTGGCGATTGTAAGAGTTGGCTAGGTTTGGTTTAGGGTTGAGAGTTGAGGGATTGGCTTTTGTTCTAGGTGTCGGAGTATTACAGAGGTATTTCCGTTGAGTAACGATGATGTTGCTGGTCAGTTTCTGCCTGGCTTGTTGGTCAATCGTGCATTGCTTGCCTGGTCGGTATGTCGGTTGGCGGGTGTGATCGGGAGGCTTGGCGGGTGATCTTCTGTGCGCTGCGCTTTCGGCGAAGAGGATTGTGGCGCCAGACACTTTCAGTTAACCACTCGTCATCTCATGATTCGGCACGAAAGGCAGCTCAGCTGGCCCCGTGTCGGTAACCACTCCGAATACTGGATTGTGGGAGATGGGTGGGGCTGGACCTCGCGGTTGGCCGTGTTGGAGGGCTCATCCAAAGACCCGGTGATGCTAGTGTGGACCTCTTTCTTGGCAGCGCCCTTTGGGGAAGCAAGTCCATGGCCGACCCTTTTGGGAGAGCCCTCTGGTTTGGCTTCCATGGCCCGTCCAAGATCGAGAGTGCCGAGAGGCCGGACACACGACCCGGAGCCGGCGAGGAAGAGTGAGACTCACGGCGAGTGAGCTTGGTCTACCCTTCTGGAGTGTTTCGTGTTGCTTTCTTCCAAGCCTGGAGCCGGTCACGGAGGGTGGTGGGGTGGAGGGTGGTTTTGTGTCGGGCAGGGCTTCGTCGTGAATGCTGCTTCTGCTGACTTAGTTCGTTGTTAGTTTGTTAAGTTTATGTTGATGTTGGTGGTTGTTTGCGGTCGTTATGTTTATATTGCTGTTGTGGTGGTGGTGGTGGTGGTGGTGGTGGTGGTGGTGGTGGTGGTGGTGGTGGTGTGTGGTGGTGGTGGTGGTGGTGTGTGGTGTGTGGTGTGTGGTGTGTGGTGTGTGGTGTTTGGGGTTTGAGGTTTGGGGTTTGGGGTTTGGGGTTTGGGGTTTGGGGTTTGGGGTTTGGGGTTGGGGTTTGGGGTTTGGGGTTTTTGGGGGTTGGGGTTTGGGGGGGGTTTGGGGGGTTTGGGGTTTTGGGTGTTTGGGGTTTGGGGTTTGGGGTTTGGGGTTTGGGGTTGGGTTTGGGGTTTGGGGTTTGGGGTTGGGGTTTGGGGTTTGGGGTTGGGGTTTGGGGTTGGGGGTTTGGGGTTTGTGGGTTTGGGGGTTTGGGTTGGGGTTTTGGTGGGGTTTGGGGTTTGGGGTTTGGGGTTTTGGGGGTTTGGGGGGTTTGGGGTTTGGGGTTTGGGGGTTTGGATTTTCGGGGTTTGGGGTTTTGGGGTTTGGGGTTTGGGGGTTTGGGGGTTGGGGTTTGGGGTTTGGGGTTTTGGGGTTTGGGGGTGGGGTTGGGGTTTTGGGTTTGGGGTTTGGGGTTTGGGTTTGGGGTTGGGGTTTGGGTTTGGGGGTGTGGGGTTTAGGGTTTAGGGTTTAGGGTTTAGGGTTTAGGGTTTAGGGTAGGGTAACCCTAAACCCTATTAGGGTTTAGGGTTTAGGGTTTAGGGTTTAGGGTTTAGGGTTTAGGGTGTGTCGACCAAACTGTTGCGGTAAAAAGAATGTAGAACGGACGTCGGCGTTTTTTTGCGTAAGAGAGTTCGTCACGTCCGTGGACTTCGATATACATCCCACCACAACCCACCCGGAGCATTTGTCCTTAGCTTAAATCCTTAAGCGTCCATCACGAAGGAGAGACCCATGCAGCTACAGGCACGCGGACAGTCTTTGCACCGTTACGGCGGCGATGACAACTCTAAGAGCAGCCAAACGAAAAGAAAGGAGGAGACCTCGGATTCGCACTTGCCCTGCATTAAAAGGCACATTTTATGAACAGAAATTGGTACACCAAAATCAGCACCAGTTCTCCAATCGCCGAAGGTCAAGGCAGAGTTTAAAGCAGCCACACGAAAAGAACGGCGTTGTTTTGCTGCAGAATGTGGCTTCGGCCGCTTTAGGCACCCATAGGCACCGGATGGTTTAGAGCAGGCACACGAAAAGAACGGCCCTGTTTTGCTGCAGAATGTGGCCGCGACCTGCTTGGGCACACACGAGCACTCGAGGCTCCATTTTTCGATCCTAAGCCTGGGAACCCAGTTTAGAGCAGGCACACGAAAAAAAACGGCCCTGTTTTGCTGCAGAATCTGGCTTTGGCCGCTTTGGGCACCCAGAGGCACCGGATGGTTTAGAGCAGGCACACGAAAAGAACAGCCCTGTTTTGCTGCAGAATGTGGCCCCGACCGGCTTGGGCACACACGAGCACTCGAGGGTCCATTTTTTGATCCGAGCTCCGAGGGACGGAGTTTAGGGATTGGGAAGGCGGCTAAGAGCAGCCACACGAAAAGAAAGGGGAGCACCTCGAGATTCGCAGCCGGCCTAGTTTAAAAGGCACATTTTATGAACAGAATTTGTCACTTGAAAATCACTAGCAATTTTCCAAATTTCCGGAAGCAAAAATGTAGAAAATCTGAATTTAAGAGCTGGTTGTCCTTTTCCGAAAAGGACAAGCACGACTAAATGTAGAAAATCTAGGATTTAGAGCTGGTTCTCCTTTTCCTAAGAGGACAAGCGCGACTAAATGTAGAAAATCTAGATTTTAGAGCTGGTTGTCCTTTTCCGAAAAGGACAAGCGCGACTAAATGTAGAAAATCTAGATTTTAGAGCTGGTTGTCTTTTTCCGAAAAGGACAAGCACGATTAAATGTAGAAAATCTAGATTTTAAAGCTGGTTGTCCTTTTCCGAAAAGGACAAGCGCGACTAAATGTAGAAAATCTAGATTTTAGAGCTGGTTGTCCTTTTCCGAAAAGGACAAGCGCGACTAAATGTAGAAAATCGAGATTTTAGAGCCGGCACACGAAAAGAAGGGCCCTGTTTTGCTGCAGAATGTGGCCCCGACCTGCTTGGGCACACACGAGCACTCGAGGGTCCATTTTTTGATCCGAGCTCCGAGGGACGGAGTTTAGGGATTGGGAAGGCGGCTAAGAGCAGCCACACGAAAAGAAAGGGGGGCACCTCGAGATTCGCAGCCGGCGTAGTCTAAAAGGCACATTTTATGAACAGAATTTATCACTTGAAAACCACCAGCAATTTTCCAGAATTCTGGAAGCAGAGTGTGGAAAATCTAAAATTTAGAGCTGGTTGTCCTTTTCCGAAAAGGACAAGCGCGACTAAATGTAGAAATCTGAATTTAAGAGCTGGCTGTCCTTTTCCGAAAAGGACAAGCACGACTAAATGCAGAAAATCTAGGATTTAGAGCTGGTTCTCCTTTTCCGAAGAAAACAAGCGCGACTAAATGTAGAAAATCTAGATTTTAAAGCTGGTTGTCCTTTTCCGAAAAGGACAAGCGCGACTAAATGTAGAAAATCTAGATTTTAGAGCTGGTTGTCCTTTTCCGAAAAGGACAAGCGCGACTAAATGTAGAAAATCGAGATTTTAGAGCCGGCACACGAAAAGAACGGCCCTGTTTTGCTGCAGAATGTGGCCCCGACGTGCTTGGGCACACACGAGCACTCGAGGGTCCATTTTTTGATCCGAGCTCCGAGGGACGGAGTTTAGGGATGGGGAAGGCGGCTAAGAGCAGCCACACGAAAAGAAAGAGGGCACCTCGAGATTCGCAGCCGGCGTAGTCTAAAAG